GGATTTCCAAAATGCTTGCAATGCGCACAAATTCACTTTAGAGATACTGCAGAGTGTTTGTACTTAATAGCAAGTGTGAATAGCGGAATTACGGATTAGTCTGTTTGTCTTTTGAATCTACGATCGAAAGCCGAAGATTTGGTCTTAAATTTTTTCTTTCGTCATGTTATGCTCCAGAATATGTTAAATCATTTAACCTAACCGCTCACAACCATCGGAAATTTACTACATTGAGAAACAATTTCTTTATGTTTTTGATCAAGTTCAATTTCATTTAAGACATTCTTTTCACGCAGCTTAAGCAGGAGTGCCCGTAAGTGCTATTTTTTTTTTTGGTTGGTCTTGATATGATTTAAGAGTAGCAGTTTCGCCATCCTCTAGAACGTCGAATTGGAGCATTCTTTTTTAATCCCACCGAACGCCAAGTGTCACTTTCTGGGCCTGAACATTCGACTTTGCAAGATAAATGAATGGTTGTCCTGGATTAGCCAGGACTGCTTTTTTTCGTTTAGGATTGTCGTAAAGGACCCATAATAATTTTATGATGAACATGATTTGCCTTTTTGTAGCGATTCAACAAATGTAAGCACATGTCAAGTCTACGATAGTAGTTGTCTTCAGGTGCCACATGAGGAACCCATTTTTTTTTCTTCTGTGTCTCTCCTATTGTATGCAGTCGAAGTGAATTTCTAACTGTATAGAAAACTCCTTTTGGGTTTATACTGCGTTTTCGTCGAATAAACTTTGAATTTCGTAGTCTTTTCACGGAGCTCCGGAACGTCCATCCTCGTCAAGGTTAAAATCTTTTGTATGAAATCTCGCTGAACGCCCTCTAACTCTTTCAAAAACTACTACATTTCATTCCAAGCCAACTTAATCGTTTTAGTAGCTGCAGGGACATTCTCTCTCTTGTTGGCATCCATCTTTTGACATTTGCCTTTATACACTTTGACACTCCTGGCGGTAGTGTGCAAATAACTGAAACTTAGATCATACTAACACATTCTCTGTTATTTTTATAACTAACAATCATTTTTGTCTTTTTTCAAATTTTAGTCAGAGTTAGACGAGCTTTTCTTTAGCTCAGAGCTTAATAGAATATTCATGCCAACAGTTCGGAAGCTCGTTGAAACGGATCGAAGATCCATTGGCAAAAAAAAAAAAAAGGAACGTTTTGATATGTCGAGTGAGTCTTGTAATCAAATATCTGTTGCAGCATTTACTTCAATCCAAATTCCCATATTGTCCATCCGCCTTCTTTTTTTCCTTCTTTTTTTATTTATTTTTATACCCGTCACCGAAGAATGAGGAGTACATTCATTTTGTCAAAACGTTTGCAAAGCCCAAAAGGAAGCACCAGACACCCCGTAAAACATATATATCGTTGGTCCGTATCAAATTCTAAACCTTAGTCTGTCCGTCTGTGTAATGTCTGTTGTAAACATTTTCCTGGCCACCAAAATGAGGCTATCGACTTCCAATTGGAAGTTCTTGCCTGCAAATTGGTATTTCAAATGGGCCAAATCGGTCGAAGGGCACGCCCACAGCACCACGTAAACTAAGATCATCTCTGCTTTTCAAGAGGAATGAAAATATAAATGTGCAAAAACTTGAACGAATATGCTATGGGCAATGTTGTAACACCTGTATAAAAATGGAAAAAATTGACTACGCCTACCCAATATTATAGAGTATCAAAATATTATTTTTCTTTAAAACATTGATAGGACGTAGAAACAAGCTTCATAAGCCCCTATAAATTCTTGGCAGGTTTGAAATGTGCAATGCAACTAAATCTGTCCGTCTGTTCGTCTCCCCATCTGTCTGTCTGCGTAACTGTGTAGTATTTCTCTCGTTTGCGAAAATGAAGATGTCGCCTACAAAATTTACAAAAGAATCTGGAAGTGACTTAAACATTTTCAACGACACGCCTGCAACGCCAATGCGCATCTGCGACAAAAACTTTTATTTTGAAAGTAGAAAAAATCAGTCGCACCCATTCCACATTCGAGAGCATGAAAATTTAGTGCTCTTACTTTTTTTTTCATCTTAGAATAATTGTGATGGTGATTCGATCACGATCGACTATAATTTTCTTATATTTCAAAATTTCATTTTCATCTTAATTCCATAAATCTGAAGCTTAAGCTGATAATTTGAAATTTTTCTTTGGTTACGTAATTGAGTCGATTTTTATTGAAGACCAATTATAGGCAAATAAGTAACGGACTTCTCATTATAATTGAAAGTAATTGTTGGGAAGAATTACGCAACAGCTGTCTTGATATTTTGTTTTTTAATAAACTTTTCTTGTTTTTTAGTATAAATTTCAGGCAACGAAACTTAAATCTTTACTGAAAATTTCTTCAAGTCATTTACTAGCTTCCCCAATAAGTGAAGCAAACGATAACAACTACAACTACAGCAGAAGCAACAACAAGAATGATGATGCTGATGATAGTGGCAATAGACTTTGTACGATGAAGGACGATCCGCAAAAAGTACCAGCAGACGAAGACGAGCAGCAACAGGAAAAGCTAGAAACGCATTTGGAAGGAAATACTGCAGTTAACTAAACTTAAGCAACCGCAACAAAGTGAAAGAAAGTTAAGGTACGGCAGACCTAAAAGAAAAAAATTCGTGTACAACTATTATGGTGAAGGGTGAAACAAGTGTTTGAAAGTTTTAAAATGTTTGGAAATGTTTTGCTCTTCTAAGAACATTGAAATATAGTAAGTCTAGGATAACTAAAATGACATTTACGTTGAAAACTTTACAAGTTGTACGGCAGATTGACGTTCGTATGGTTTGATATTATATAGCGGTACACGCCATAGAGAATAATTATATATATATAATCGAATCAAAAGAATCTCACTCAGATGTGGTAATGAATAAAACGCAACAGTTAAACAGTAAAAACTAAAAATGGAATGTTTGATGTATTGTAAATGTGTGTTCAAAAAGTAAGAGAATATTTTAGTAAGCGTTCTATTTCACTATTTTCTTCGAGACCTAATGGAGTCACTTCGTTTCAATATATACAAGATACTTCACTGATTGCCTTGAAGAGCAATTACGGAGGATACAACGAACGACTTGGCATTCCTTTCTATCGACGACAATATACAAAGTGATATTTGTTGAGGTGAGAACGTGAGAATTTTCTCTCTTAAGCAAAGCCAGAGAATTTTCTATTTCTAATACTCGTGAGTTATTTTTTTTCTCACTCTTTAATCAAAGCTTGCGGAGTGAAGATCATCGGAGTATGAACCAAACAAAGTCAATGGAAGTAATATTAAATCTACCTAACTGTAATGAGATTGATATTAAAATCAGTTCTTCCCCTTATATAAAAGAAAAAAAGTGAAATAATATTTTTTTGTCAAATTTATATTTCTCCACAATAATAAACGTTCAACAGATTAAACTATAATAAAAAAAATGCAACCAGCCCCCCACCAGACAGCATTCAAAGCAATAAAATAAGCGGTTCACCATACCTTTTGGACATATCAGAATGTAAGTTGAATAAAACAATATTTAATGTTTTAGTACTAGACTGCAACTGATTTATTCGAAAGCAATGAAAGACGTAATAGTTAGCGAAAGTGGAAGCAAGCAAACAAGTCGACAAATCGGAAATATGGCCGAAGGTGTGATCGGGAAAAAAGTGAATAAACTTCTCCTTAACTTACGTACTCGAGTTCAATGTTTGCATAAAACAACATAATCACTGAGATAATTATAAGAAACTATATACATACCGCACAGAACATATATGCGCTTATTCCATAAAGGCAGCAAATTTTATACGCTTGTTCTTTAAAGGCAGGAAATTTTATACAAATACATGTTTAATTATTAAAAAATGTAAACAAACATATACGCTTACTCTCTGATGGGTGGAGTTCTTATACAAATTATTGATAACATGTCCGTAAACAAATTTGTGGACGCTTATTCTCTCATCATCTGTGGCGAATTCTTTGTCCGACATAACAAATACATACAAGTTAATGTGAACAAAATGCAATACATCGCGTACGTAACGCATGATTGTAACAACAATAGCAAATACGATGGAAGAAAGTTTGATTGTAAATCCACAAGAGATAAGAATTTTCGTTCTACGGAAGACAAAAACCACATGTGCAAGGAACTTTTGTTAACTTTATAGAAATGACAGAGAGAAGAACATTACACAGTTATGTATAGTAAAGTGTATCTTTTATCTAAACTACATAAAATGCAGAGTTGTTGTATTTGAATGTTAAATTTATACACCAATCAATCAAATGAAAGCCGATTACGAAAATACAGTGTTTTCCAATAGCAATAATACAATCATTTTAAAAAGGATATTAAAAAAATTGAGAAAGGGCGCCATTCTCTTTTATTACAATTTTACTTTATGCAACAAAAACAAGCAAGAGAAGCCAAATTCCAACCGAATCTTTTATGTACATCACCGTTATCCTAAAAACGACAAAAAAACTACAAAAACTAAACTTTCTTGTTTTATAATATGTAGAGTGGGGGCATCCGGTTTTCTCTATTTTGACCGCATTGCAAAAATATCATAATTTATACACTATAATATTGGGAAGACGTGGTCAATTTTTCCCATTTTTGGATAATTACTTCAGCATCGCCGTTCATAATTTTGTAGATTTATTTACTGTAGTTTATAAGTAATGAGCAAAAATCAATTTCTTATTTCTTTTGAAAGATGTAGATATTTTCAGCTTACTGTAGGCGATTTGGATCATTTTCTGGGCGTTGCAAATGTTTTGACATAATGAATATAAGTTTCATTCTTCAGTGAAGGGTATAAAAGGACAGAGTAGTATTTTTATTTAAAGTTTTGCTGCAATGTCAATAGGAAATCATAGCAATTCAACAAGCCTGGGATCGGTTAACGGTTCTTGATGTTGAGTACGTAATCCATGCGACAGTCATTCTCGATAGTATCGTTTCAACTAACGCGTAGTCCATAATTTTATCTTTCCTAAGAGGCGGACTAACTTTACCATTGGTTCACGGCTTGGCTAAGGTAATTAATATGATTCTAAAAACTAAGCAAAAATTAAAAATATAAATAAAAAAAGGAAATCATGCGTTGTGTTATAAAAGTGCAAACAATTTTTTTTTTGTTAATACTGAAGAAAAAAGTATAATAGAAAAACTAGATTATAAAATATTTTAATTTTTTAATATTTTAAAGGTTTTGATATGTCTCTTAAAGGATGCCGAAAGCGGATAGAAAAACCTAATCGAATTATATGATCAGTGTCCGCACATCACCCCTACATACATTTTTACTTGTTAATTTATATATAACTTCCATTTATATATGTATGTATATACCTACATATATATATGTATGTATATATTTGTATATGTATATATAACTTGTAGTATATATAACTTAAGGTATGTATGATCAATTTATCGATTCAACGTATTCTGCTTATTACTCACTTATTAATCACTTATGCTAAGTTTACATTTTCTTATTCCCCTACATAATGTAAGTCCAGCTATAACCTGATTAAGATAACCTAATTTAGTTATAATCTATATTAAATGTAATTCAGGTCTAATTAAGATAACTTATGTCTGCGAAATTTTAGTAATAGCCTAGTTTGAAACTTTACTATTTTGCTTAAGCTAGCACAATAATTTATTATATAAGACGCTGACCACAGTTCACTTAAAAGAGAAATATATTGTAGAAGTCAATAAACAAAACGTGAAAATAATTATCAAACGGAATATATATTTGGATTTCACTACACGATATGATCGAAACACCCCTTGCGTCGCATTAAAAAATGCATAAAAATGTACCGGGCCTATCTCTTAATTAAAATGTAAGTACAATAATTAGAATTTAATTTGCAGCAACGGGGGGATGAAGCTTTTCAGAAGTCTAACAGAGTAAATTTATATTAATTAATGGCCGAGAGAAAGCTTTTTCTAATAAAACTGAGCACTGAGAAGGAGAAAATCCACTTAGGTTTGAGCATCTGGATACCTGCCTAACTTTTTAGTATTAAAATAGATTTATAATGCTGAACTTGTAAATAATATTTTGAATACACGTGAGAATAAGCACCATTAGAAACAAAAAAAGAGAAAGAACAAGCAAAATGTTAAAATAGTGGAAAGTTGTTCTTAGAAATAAACCAAACTTTAGACAAGTAAGTTGAGATCTAATGTGACATTTTGTACTTCCTGCTCATTTTTTTTGGAACCATTTAATGTACGTATTAAGAGTATTGTAACAAGTAAATATTCTTAAGTGACCTTGGAATGGCTCTTTTAATTGCTTAACTGTGGTTCTCCACGTCCAGGTCTCCCCGCCTTTCTCCGACAATCTCGGTGGGAATTGTATAGGTCGTTCAACCCTGAAAGCTTGCACAGGTGTTTCGAATTCATGTGACAGATCAATTTGAAAAAAGCTACATTTTACTCTTTACATTAAGCAGAAATTGTGAATAGAAGAAGCGAGATTTCAAACACGTTTCTTTCGCGTAAAATTCAGTTTTCATTTCAGCGTAAGGAGTTTGTCAAAAGAAACAAGTATGAAACGCGTATATGGTTGAGACCGAGTGTTGGGTGGGCCTGGGTCATTTGTTCTATTTGCATTGAATAATTTTGCGGAAATTTATATCGTGTATTTCTTGTAGCTTATGATCGACGAGCTAAAGACACGGAAGGCAAAAATGTTCTCAGTTTTGTTTGAATGGACGTTGTAGGTGTGTTCTCTGATCTGTTTTAACCGTTTTCAAATTCTTTTTTAAATTGGTTGGATACTACGTAGTTGGGCAGGCGGCTAGATGGACAGGCAAAGAGACAAATATCATTAGGAGTATTCCGAATCTGCAACTTGTTCAAAATTAAGCGTGTTGCTGTGTGCTATAAAGGTATTGAAAAACAAATTAAATTGTGATTTAATTGTGGGTAGGCGTGGTCAATTTTCGTCATTTAAGGTTTGCGTGCTATAGTTTATGAGTAATAAGCACAAAACTAATTTTTTATTCTTTTTGAAACATAGATATGTCCTCAGTTTACATGATCCTGCCGACCTAATTTGCCTCATTTCCAATACCAATCTGCGTGCAAGAACTTGCAATGTTTTTGCTAAATTTGAAGTCAATAATTTCTTTTCTGCGGACAGGAGAATGTTTACAACAGACGTTTATTTAAAACTAGCCTGCATACAAGAGCTTATAGTGTTTTGCGAACTGTTGCGTCGTTATCTGAATTTTTGGCGATCAAGACATTATTGCGATTATTACACAGACGGGCGGGCATACGATCCTGCTTAAATCGATTCAGAGTTTGGTATTGATCAGGAGCATATATAGCTTATAGAATTTCCGAACAAATGACAAATTGAATATGACGCCATCCTTTGAGAAAAGAAATATAGATAGCATATGGGCCTCTGTATCAAGCTTTCAGAATATACTTTTCTTTGCTTTATTATAAAACTTAATTCTTTTAATTAGAATTCACGTTTCAATTCAACCTCAAGATCACTTTCGGAAAATATTAGCCTTGAGAGTAGTCACTTTAGTCATTTTAATCAAAAGTGGCAGCAAGCTAAGCCTTTCAACCAAATACCTGGCGACAGTAAATTAGCACTATTTAGAAAATTCTAACAAGGAGGTAAATATTACAATATGGATGCAGCACAACTAATGTCGGCTTGCAAAGAAGATTAGGGGGAAATTGCGATTCTCAAAGGTCTTCTGGGTAAAAGTGATTTTGTCTTAGTCCACAATCCTAAAGATTTTGAAGAGGTTCTACGTAATGGCCAAAACGACCGGGCATGGAGTTCCTATATTATTATCGTAGCGTCTTAAAAAAGAACTTCTATCAAGGGGTTGAAGGTTTGCTATCAACGTAAGTTTTAATGCAATCGAAAACCGTCAAGCTTTATATGCAGAAGATGTCACATGTCAATAAAAAATTTATAGAAAGGTAAGAGTGCAAAGAGTACAAATGTGGCAGCGAAGTACTGTATAGAGCATAAAAAAAAATTGCGGAAACAACTAGTGACTGCGTAGAGTTGTTGCTTTGTTAACGCAAGGGGAATGGTTCTAAAACTTTAATCATTACTGTCTCCGGCAGTGGAGTCTTCTATGATCGTTACATATGTAATGTAATAATTTTCTTTTCCAAGATTTATGCTTTTAATCGAAAGACACCATTTACAGCCGTATTCCGAGTAGCATGGCAGCGATGTCACAAATCACAAAGTGGTAAGATGTTTTTTTTTTTTTGAATATTATAGTCCGGCAAAGCCGACTATTACAAACCCTACACCACTTCGCCGAATGCAGTTATTCGCTAGTTTTGGTAATAGTGCACCAAAAAGTTCATTCATTCATTATTTTCATAGAAGCCCGCATATTGGTAGGCTAGATTTTCTCGTCATATAGGAGCTTTCGTTTCGTGACAGCGCCTACATATGTTGGGGCCCAAAAAAAAGAGCTATGTGATTTAAATTTCCTACCGTAAATTCTTGCGTGGACGTATGTAACATCTAGAAGAGTTTAAGGCAGTTTAAGGCAGCTTTTGTTATACCGATCGATCCAGAATCATTTTCTGAATCGATCGCAGTTTCTCTATTTGTCTTTGTAACTATCCATCTGTCCGTCTGACGTCAGTCCATATAAATTTGCGTTCAAGTTGGAGGTCGCAATTTTTAAGATATTTTGATGAAATTTGGTACACTGATGTGCTCTGATCCAAGGTGCGCTATTGAAAATGGTTCAGATTGGTCATCTTTTTCTACAATTCCCCATATAAACCCTTATTTTGAAAAGACGTTATATGCAAAAATTGCAATCTGCAAAATTTCTCGGTAAAAGTGGTTAAGTAATCGTAGTTTGATATTCTATGTTGCTATGAATACTACGGACCGTCTGGGACTATGTTTTGAACCCTCTGTTATATCACGAAAACTGAACTTCATATCCTAAAAAATTTTCAATCCTTCATGATGAAAATCATGAATGTAATTTAACATAAAAAAAATTAACTGTACCAAATTTGGGTCAACTCGGTCTATTTTATAGCGCAGAAAAATCTAAATCTTAATATCTTATGATGAAAGTAAACCCATAATAGCAATTTAATACACAAATTAACGCTACGAAATTTGGTTCACCTAAGCTTATTTTTGCATCCCGTCCTTTGTAAGGATTTTCATGAAAATTATTGGTTTTCAGGGCAAAAATTTCGAGGTTTCAATGTTTTATGATTAAGTTTAATCCATAATAGTAACTTGATATAAAAATTAACTGTACTGATTTTTGAAGCCGTGTCTCAAATTTTCAACCTCTTGAGCACAACTACTCTTACGGAAAGTAAGCCCTCATATCTGGTATGGGGTATCTAATAGTCGGTCTGGCCCGACTATAATGTTTTCACTTGAATCGAACTAAATAAAGCTCTCCGATGACTGAGATATTTTGCAATTTTCTTCTCGTCTGAGAAAAAACTTATGCATAAGCTTTCAAAAAAGTACCATTCGCTTTGGGAAAAGTTCATTTTTATTACATGCTTTCTGTTTTCTTTGTTTTTCACACTATCCCTGTAGCTTAAATTTCAGTCTTTCACCTTAAGCCGTTTGCTAGTCTTCCCAGAAATCGATACAAATTATAGTAATAAGAAAAAAAAAAGAGTTAATTTAGGGCGGTAGAATATACGATAAGATGAGGAGCTATCCATATGAAAAGTGAACAGAAGTCTATGAGCAGAAACGGTGGCAACTCGAAATGCGTTAAAGGAGAAACGTGGCAGTTAGCTAAACTTAAGAAAAAACACCAATTGATTAAGAGCAAAAATAAGCCAAAAACATTACAGGGTCCATGGGTTATCATCAAATACTCTACATCACTTCGCTTAATACAGTTGTTCATAGAGCCACTTTTCAAAATGGGGCGCTATAGGAGGTCTGGTACCGATCTAAACCATTTTCGATAGGGTTCGTCCTCGGGTCACGACACCCGCAGATTGAACAAAAAAGAGACATGACCAAACTTTTCGCGTCAATTTCAATTCACTCATTAAATAGTATTCGATTCTAAAAAGTTAGTGAGCGTATTTGTAATTCTGATCTTTTGTTCGTAATTTTTTGTGCTTTCTGAGAAATGCAAGAACGTTATAGGACGAAAATATTGATACATTACTATTATTATTAATTATTGGAGAGAGAATTAGAGAGCGAGAATTTAGATAAGAGAGAAAGCTTTCGATGCACAGAAATGCTATTGAATTATGGATGTTAATCTATTTAGTAGTAGACTACATTTCCATTGTAAAATTTCTACTTAATAATTTTATGAAAAAGTGTAAAAATAGAAATGTTGGAGCGTCTAAGAATTTTCCACACAATTTCGCAAAGCATTAAACAAGTAAGCAAACTACTTTTATAGTTTTCTTGTAAACCTTACTAATGATCGCGCCATTCGTCGGGTATACATTAAAAAAGTCACATAAATTGCAGTTTTAATCACTGCTATCTAGTTGAACGTTTGATTGTTACAATGTTATGGGGCTATTTTACAAGTACTTCTGTGTGTCCATCCGTGCCGTTTCTGGGTTTATCTATATGTCGAGATGTATGCGTATTTTATCATTCCTTTGCACTTCCAAGTAAGAGTTCATTTATCTATAATATTGTGGGTTGTTACATCTATCAAAACATTATAGTTATCTAAACAATAATTACGTTCGCATGGAAATCACTTTAGACTACAAGAAAAAGTTTTCGAAATGTGTTATTTGATAACTTTTATATGTATTTATATATTATACAAACCGGTGTAAGCAAGTTGTTAAGTTAAAAAAAAACAAGGGGTTTTTTAATTACAGCTTAAATATCACTGCTACGCATATAAGCTTATGAACTATTAACATGAACTATGAACTATTAACATATCTTTCTCTTTCATTAACAAATTGCTAACTAATAATAAAAATGTGGGCGACCCGGTTTTGTATTCGGAATAAGATATACTTGAGTTTGTCGATTTAAGCCTAACATCGATCAAAGTTGACTCGAAAACGTAGCGTTTGGTAAAACTTATTGGTTTGGGCGGCATTGATGAGGCTTAATTGGATCATAGTTTCGAATATCTCTGTTAGGGATATGAAAGTCACTCCGAACAAATAGAAATGACAAATTCATTCACTTATGTATCAAGCTGGGAAAGAAAGTAACCCTTAAAATTTTGCGCCTTGTTTGAAAAGATGGTGACTCAATAGAATTAAGCCTGCGCTTCCATGAAAGCAGACTAATCGAGGTGTTCAAACCTAAACCTTTAAGAGTAAATAACAAAAATTGCGTTTGTGCCGACTCTAATAACTTAATATACGACTGATAAGATCGTGACCAAACAACGATCGCGTGTTCGAATACTGATCTGACAGGCGGGACAAATAGGCCTTGCTAATACGCGGACTGTAGCGCAACGTTTCAAAACCCAAAAGCAAAAGCCCGCAAAAGTAGGCGCGTAGGTAAGAACCGCGACCAACAAGTCAGTACTCGCGGGTTGAAATCTCAGTGCGATAGCGTTTACTTTGGCTGTAGCTGCTGTGAGTGTCCAGTCGGTAAAGGCATGAACACTTGGTCACGCAAACGCACTAGCGTGCGGCCATCTCCCTGCATCTTTACCTTTCTTCATTCTTTTCTTTTTGGGCGGTAAAAAAAAAAAAATAGCGGCTTCGTGTTACCCACGTAGGCATTAATATCAACGTGAAATTTCCTCTTGGGCTCCAGTAAAAAGTGGAGGTCGCTAAAGAAATGAACGTTGGACAAATGTCGGGCAATTAAATACCCCGCCAATTAAATACCTCACACCATTAAATTTTCAAAAAGCCCTCATAGTGAAGGACATATGAAACGTTTGCTAACGCGGTCCAAGCTGAGCAAACTTAATTTACTTGTCAACGTTTTCATAATTTTCTAGTAGCTTCTTTCGTAGTAAACCACAACTTAGACTTTGTCCACATAAAAGAGTTTGCTTTCATGAGAGCATGTACATAGGGTGCGATCTAGATTCAGATCTATATAATTAATTTAAAATTAAAATATTGAGAACTAGGCCATTTTGGTATTTAAAGGCTTACTTTTGATTAAACCCCTTATATAGGCTAGGATCAAAAAAAAGGTGTACGTTGTCCAAATTCCGTATGGGTAAGGATAAGACAAGGGTTAAAATTATTGTAGTAAACGAGCTTCCATTAAGAACTATTGAAAATTACGCGTTTTTAACATATAGGAAGGGCTATATGGCAAAGGGTTCAAAAAATTGCCCCACTCTATCCAAAGTTCTCTGAAGAGTTAACAAATTTATGACACTGTGTAGTACAATTGAAGAGAGAAGAGCTCATTTTTTATAGGTGTTTAGAATAAGTTTGATAGTCGTGGTAACTAAATGTACACTCGGCCGACGGATATGTGAAACAGACAAATGGAGAGCTACTTATATTTCATATATTTTTTGTTATGTTTATAATACTTAAGCACATTGGTTAACGACGGTAGACAGGTTCTTAGAAGGGAGGGAATAGTTATATGTAGCATGCTGTATAAAGAAGATTTAAGGGTTTCTATATTTCAAGCAGGGAATTCAAGCCTAATGTTTAATAATACACTTTTAAGGTACAGTACGTTTAAAGGTACATTGAGGATTCGGAGGAATACGATTTAATATGTTAAGGTGACTCATAAAACTAGAGTATTTGTAATAGGAGGATATATAATATTAGTTTTTCTATTAGCAATTCTGTTTATTTCTTTGTTTTTAAGAAAAGAATGCAACTCTGCCCTAACAGTATTGTTAAGATCTCGCGCGAGAAAGAGTTAACGGCAGGAGATGTGTTCACGTCATTTTTATTGGTTTTATTTGGCTTTCGCTTTTCGGGATATTGGCTAGAGCTTGTATTTTTCTTTACTGTGAGTGAAAATTTTTTTTTTTTTGATGAATGAGTAAATAAATGAAAACAAGGGTCGTCCAAATGTACAAGAGGAATTTAGCAAATTTGATTAATAAAAAAAATTAAGTTAAAAATAACAACAATCACAAAAGTTATATAGCAAACCTGAAATTGGACAGAAATTTTTGCATTTATTAATATTGCACTGTATACTCTCGGAGATCTTCGTAAATGCATATGGAAATCTATCTATGAATATTTTATTATCACATTAAAAGATGAAAAAATAGATTTTCCCTTAAATAGATCCAGTTTGACAAGACGTCATTAATAGCGGCTAGTTGCATTATTCCACGATATTTTTGGCTAACTATTCTTTACATTTGAAGGAACATTAAATTCAATGGGTTTGATATGGACTGCACCTTGCCTGAATGCAAATCATTTCCATATGAACAAACATGTTTTGATGTGGTTAAAGAACGTTTAGTTCCGATGCGTTATCCTAATGGTTTGTTGAAACGCTATGTTGTTGTGATCACAATAATATAACAAGACAAATTTATTAATAATTACTAAATTAAATAGATAAACCATTTACATATATACCAACGTACTCTTTTTGTATAAAAAAGCTTATATATACATACGTATATGCCTTTTATATATATCAACAATTACATAAATTGAAATATAAACTAAAAATTCAATTTCACTTCTCATAGCGATTTATTATCATTACTACTATTCCTATTATTAATTGAAAAGGAATCTCATACATATTGCGTTAAATATTAGATAAAATGTAAAAGAAAAAAATGAAATAAAAGGAATCTTTTTATTTATGAGAGGAGCTTCGGGTTCCCCTACAAACCTTTTTACTGGCCGAAGGGAGAGTAATAGGCTGGATGGGTGAAGAAAAGGCCCAGGAGCAAATCCGCGATCGATTAGTTAGGGTTTTGTGAGTCTGGTATTCGGTGAGGAACAAGTACGTATAAATTCTTTGGTTTACCCGTCCTAGGAGTGTTGGTGAGCAAGTTATAGAATCGCTTCCACATCTCACGAACTGGGTAGCTCAACTATGGCACGTGCGCTTATTTCATAGGCTTCCATTCCTCTTCAAGTGGCACCACAAGGTTGCGCTAAACTTTCTGTAGATAGCAGCTTTAGAGGAAATAAATCTATTTTATGTAATGTCACACATAACTTAAGCTCGGTGATACGAGTTGCCAGTTAAAGTAAAAGATGGACAAACTTGCAATAGTAAGATGTAAGAATTTCCTTACTTTTGCAGCGAGGAATATTATTATATAAGGAAAAGTTCTAATCAAATATTTTGTTGAAGAATTCGTTAGTCCCACCCGACGGCGTCGTGGGAACCATATAGAAATAGGACCGTGTTAACAGACGGATCTGGAGAATCGTAGGAACAATTTAAAAATTTATTTTCATTACCAATTTTCACCCAAGTGGTAATCAATTCAACTTTAGAAGGGGTTGGAAATTCACATAAGTAGGACGGAAGACAGTTACGATGGCAAACGGAGTATCATCGAAAGCTCGATAGACTCTTTCGTTGTTGTTTCATTTCCGAATAACACATTTTATATACGATTATGGCTTAGGGGAATAATAAAATAAAAATGTAAAAATGAATTCTTTCCTTTAGAACTCACCATTCAGACGTACATCTAGCTCATCCTCAAGCAATAATACATCTGAGAGTAATTACGATTTTAGTAAGAGATGGGAAGAAGCCAAACCTTTCGAACAGATACCTGGTGACACCCGGTTAGGTTTATTAATGAAATTTTTACCAGGTGGTAAATATAACAAATTGGAACCGATTCAGATGCTTATGGCTCATAGAAAAGATTGGGGCGATATCGCAATTTTTAAAGGTCTTTTAGGCAAAAGTGATTTTGTCGTTACTCACAACCCTGAAGATTTTGAAGAGGTTCTACGTAATGAGGGCGCATGGCCAATAAGACCGGGTATGGACGGCTTACACTATTATCGTAGTGTCTGGAGAAAGGATTTCTATCAAGGAGTTGAGGGTTTACTATCCGCGTAAGTGAGTAAACGATGTCTTGACTGCAAACAATACTAATCAAGTTACTTCTTCAATAGGAGAGGTGAAAAATGGGCTACATTTCGTAAGATCGTTAATCCCGTTTTAATGCAACCGAAAAATGTTCAACTGTATATGCAGAAGATGTCACAGGTCAATAGAGAATTTATAGAAAGGTAAGAGTGCAAACAGCACAAATGTGGCAGCGAAGCATTGCATAGCACATACAAGAAAAAATACGAGCATAATGAGTGGAGGGGGTTTCCGACGGTCGGCTTTGTCCCTGCTCTTCACAGATAGAGAAGAGTTATTCATAATAACAGAATTCCGCCAGTTAATAACTCTTTCCGTCCGAAGTTCGTCTGTATAAGATTAGGATAGTTTTTCTTCAGATAAAATAAGAGATAGAAAGGAGGACAAGGAGTTGAGGAGTGCAAGTGTTTAACGTTGGAAGAAAAATAATGATTACGGATTGATGTGCTCCTAAGAAAAGAATAAAATCAGAATATATAAATTAACTTACAATTTTCTCGTGCGAAAGCCAAGTAATAACAAAAGGAAAAATATTACATAGAATATTTATAATACCTGTGTATACAAAATTTGTTTTTGGATCCAAGAGTGTTTAAAAGAAAAATTCTATTACGAGGGCTGAAGAATATGAAATGAATTTCAAACAAGATTTTGCGCAATAAATGGCATGAAACCAAAACAATGTCTGAACAATAAAACTAATAAACGCTATTAATAAAGGTATGTACATAGCATATATATGAATTGAATGCAATTTATGTTTAGTTTTAACACGACTTTTAAATAAAAATACATTTAAAATTGAACTGATTCGCAAAAGGATAAAAAGAAAAAAGAAGTAGAATGTTTTCTAATATTTTTGGCTTCATTGTATGCCGTCAATATTACCGTTTTGTGTCGCTATTTATGGTGAGTTTGCTTATTATCTATCGATCATACCGTTGGCATTAGCAGATCTTCGAAACTACTTTTTACCGATATTTGGCGGGGAAAAAAGTCTTGATTGCTGTCTGCAAAGGTGCATAATGATCGGTCAGAAAATACTAAGGAGCATATTGATCACCGTATTGATCTTTTCCTTTTTACGGAATGGTATTTGATGGGTTACCGGGGACCCGGAGAGTGTCGATAGTGCGGCAGCATCTTTCACAATCGCGTCATCGACTGGTTGCACCGTAGATGGGGTGTTTTGGCTTGTATTAGATTTTCTTATCCATTGATGTTTATGTAGCTTTTAGCTTAATGTCTATTGTTTGCATATATGATTAAGCAAATATAAATATCGGTGAAACTAGTTTTATGTTTCAAAAGAAAAGAGAAAAAAAAAGCAAAGTTAAAATACAAATTAAGTATTAATAGAAAATATATAAATTACATAATTATAAAAAAAAACGTGGAAAAATAATAAACCAAGCATTCTACAGGTTCTGTGAAGACGGGACATATGTGTCCGTGTGTGTGAACATAGGAAAGTACGCGCCAGTATTGACTAACGGACAAGGAACAGTACTAGCGGACAACGATACTCGCACAGAGGCTAAGTTATTCGCGACTTAAAAATTTCCTTTCTTGTTGATATGATATAAGAAAGAGAAAGGGAAGGAAAAGGAAGCGAGAAGAAAAGCGGAAGGAACGCGAATATAGTTGAGTTAATCGGGCGGCGAAAAACACCAGCCCGACTTCTGTTTACACATTACACATTTTTATCATTACTGTCTCCAGTATTCGTTCCATACGGGATATCAACACTCTCGAAACCTTTTGAATTGATGAAGGCTTTTGAATTGACTTCTCTGGCTAAGTTAATTATGATAATAATAATAATTGTAAAATTATTATCCCAAACTGAACTTTTCGTAAGGACACTGAAGCTATTATTAATAGTTATTTTATTATTATAGAATTCGCGCTATACGTGATTCCAGTACTCTCGAAGTTCCCGCCACTTTTGAGGAAGAAATTAACCGCTGGGCTCTCGAGTCTGTTGCGGTCGTCGCTTTAGACAAACATTTGGGTTTAATTAATGAAAATCGTAACGATTCTCGAGCCAAAAAGCTCTTTGTCGCGCTAAATGAATTTTTTTCTGCATCCTACGAACTTGAATTTAAACCTACAGTATGGAAATACGTACATACACCCACATTTAAGCGACTAATACGAGCTCTGGATTCCTTAAAGGATGTAACAACGACACTTGTAAGCGAAGCCATGGAACAGATTGAAAAGCAAACAAATACCGAGTCAAGAAAAGATGAAAAAAGTGTCTTGGAAAAATTATTACAAATCGATAAAAAAGTTGCTGAGGTGATGGCCATGGATATGCTGTTAGCCGGCGTGGATACGGTAATATACGCGAAAGTCGAATTATAAGCAATTATCTGAATATTATTTATGAGTTAAATTGTAGACTACAACGACATTTACCGGCTTGCTGTTGTGTTTAGCTAAAAATCCCGATAAACAAAATAAATTGCGGCATGAGGTGATGCAAGTTTTACCTGAAAAGGATTCCGAATTTCAAGAGAATGCCTTGCAAAACATACCATACTTAAGAGCATGCATCAAGGAATCACAACGTATGTATCCTTTGGGTGCCGGTGGCGCAAGGATCAATCAAAGAGATGTCGTCTTAAGCGGTTATCGCGTACCAGCTGGTAATCAAGTTGCTATGATAGCCGAGCTGTTATATCGAAATGAACATTACTATGGGAGAGCCAGTGAATACTTACCTGAACGTTGGCTGCGATCCGAACAAACGAACGAAAATGTTAACGCTTTAAAACCGAGCAGTCCATTCGTGTTTCTACCTTTCGGTTTTGGACCGCGTAGTTGTGTCGGTCGTCGGATAGCTTCCATGGAACTTGAATTGGGTATCGCACGCCTAATACGTAATTTCGAAGTTGAGTTTCATTACAGCACCAAAAACGCATTCCGTAATATACAAATTTATGTACCGAATATACCGTTAAAGTTCAAATTTATCGATTGCGAGAATTAACTAACAGTGAGTTTCTCTCCAATTGTACTTTTACATCTCTACGTAAAAATATATCCATTTTCTTCACCTGTAGCACTTCCAATCATTTCATTTTCCGTCATATTCTGCATTAAAAGCATTTTTTGTTCTTTCTCTTCTACTCAATTTTTTAAATAATCAGAATCGAATGGATTTTGGGATTTGAAAACGTACTTAAGTACATTTTTTTCTATCTCAATTTTTTCTCTACTGGTTTTGTAAAGTTTTGTATTTTAACGTCAAAAATTTTCAATTCCCCTTTCATGAAAAGCGAAAACGCACTTATAGTATGATATTGTATTTTGTGTATTATTGTGTTATTACGGTAATGGGTGTGTGATAAAATTTTACTGGACTATGGAACCAAGCCTCTATTGACTTAAATTATTTTTCATAAAGATAATATAATATAGTTGCTTTCTGAAAGTATTTTGTACAAGTTCGATTTAAAATTCTTTGTCCTTTTAATAGTTAATGTCATGTGAAAGCGCGGGAAGCGCATAATTATCTTATTTCAATCGTTGCTGAGAAAAAGAGTATATATATTATGGAAGCCTTTTGCAAATTTTTTTCTGACAATAAAACATGTGAGATTAGTGTTGTAAAATGGAAAGTTAAGTGGTTTTATTTTTAGCGGTTGTCTGACTTGCTATAAGATGAATGTGTAGGAGGCAATGTGATATAAAGATATGTTAAATTTGTTTAATCTTCTCACTATTACACTCAATCGTTTTATTTTTCCTAGTTTCTGTACAATTGCATGCTACTGGGACAGAGAGGTAACGAAACGTAAACGTGAATTCTATTTTTTTTTGAGCTGATAATCGAATTGAGCTTTTGAAGCAGATAATCGGCATTCAAGAACTTAAAGTTAGTGTTACAAATTTTTACGACCACTCGCCATATACAGTTTCTATAGAAAGGATTTTCGGTTTGAATTTTATTCCTACTTTATTCCTGTCCTTTCCTTACCTGAACAGATTTTTATTCTTCTTTCTCTAATCATCGATGAAATGAACGATGACGCTTTACTTTACTAATAATATTTAATCGACATCCAAGTTTATTATCTAACGTGTATATGCTACAACTTTATATACTACAATAACATAAGACTTAACTTAGATTGCATTATCTCCTTCTATTCTATTACATGTAGGTTCAGATTATGGGTGGTTAATCCTATATTACGATTTCCAGGGGTATTTTTTTAGCGAATAATATATTATAACTTCAGTGGCCATTTGAACATGCGAAGGCGGTTCCGATCTGGAAGAGCAACCACGACTTTTTTTAAACCCCTGCTTTACTAATTAGCGTTACTGAACGGTTTTATAATTCTATTCAAAAGTCGCTGTTGCCAAATCTCCTTATCTGGGTTACTCGCACACTACAAATGATAAATATCTAATTGATACCCTTACAAGTAAATGTGGGATCAAAACGAAATAATGAATCGATTGAATAATTGGTTTTTCAGGTGTTTTGGGAGCCCATATAGAAGGTTTCATGTCGCAACAAATTGTTGTATTTTACAATGAAACTTCATCAAGACTAGTGACGGAACAGATAACCAAATATAAACAAATTTCGTCTATTCGTTAATTCTCTTTCTATGTAAGCTTTTCAATGGTACGCAACAGTATTTTAACCTATTCAATCGTTGTTTTTACTCTGCCATAATGTATCATCCCGTCTTTTCTTTCATTTTTAAAAGTAAAATGTGTAAAATGCAGGGCCAAAAGTAGTATGCCTTTTCTTATCGAACTTACCTAAAAGTTCAAAAGTAGTGAATAGAACTTTATAGTCGAACAAGACTAGCCATTAAATATCCTACACCACTTCATCCAGTACAAATAGTCGCTCGTATGGGTAAGAAGACAAATTACACATTATTTTCCTGCAAAGACATATATTTCACGAAAGCTCGCATATTGGAGGATGCCCAAAACTTCATAAGACATGATCCAAATTTGGCGAACTTAATTTACTTCCCAAAAATTTTATTAATTTCGACTTTTCGTGTTAGAAATCTAAAAATAATAGTTTTTCTCCATACAAGGGCTTGCTTATCATGATAATCCTTATACATGTTAGAGTGTGAAGAATAGAACTCTGTGATCCAAAATTTCCTAATATTAATTTATATATATATATATATATTGTTTTATATATATGTATATATTAATTTGTATGTATTCATTTATATATATGTATATATATTATATATGTTAAAATTCTATATTATTTCGATCGTGCGCCAATGAGTTACAGTGGCCTCAGTGCCGCTGCTTGTGTTCTGTTTTGTTCAAAACAAAGGAAAAATTCCGATTTTCGTCTGAAGTTAACGCTACATAATATTCTCTACTGATACTTTGACTCTTTTCAAAATGAGGACGCCACAAGCTTGCCAGCTGACTTTTGAGTTTTCGATCGTTTTGGATGGCTCTCGTATTCTTTAATTGCCGATTTGACTTTCAAGTATAGCGAGCTTCATCATATTTCGACTAAAACCTCGGTTTGCTGGGGCCTTTATTCTATTACAATAGAGTAAGGTCGACCGTTATAACGCCCTACCGTTATGCAAAAGCCTCTATTCATGTCTGTCCCTCCTTCTCTCCCTCTGGAGAACACTATTATGCAACAGAGAACTATGGAAAGAGGAAAAGCCCAAAGTTCGTTTCTGTGACTTACGAATATCTTTTCCCTGACGCTTTGAACAAAAATCAGTTAGTTTTTGTGCTGGAAAAAGTCAAATAGTTTTTCGACCGGAAAGGTTGATTAGCTTTAGTGCTGTTAAAGAATGAGTTTGGTGCTGTAGAGGTAGTTAGTGTTGTGCTGTCGAAATAGTCAATGTTGTGCTGTCCGGAATTGATTTTGTGCTGTCGAAGAATGGCTCTTAATTGCTTTATAAATTCTTGTTTTGAAAAGAGAAAAAAGGAGTCAAAACAGCAAAGTAAACTAGATCAACTTAGAAAAAAAAGTCAAAAAAAAAAAAATTAAATGTATTAAAAACTTGGAAAGAAAAAAAATTTAATTACCGTTCAAGCTAAAAAGTTTAATTCTGTTTTACCTCAATAGTCTTAACAAAAAGAATGAGTTAAAGTTGGTGCTGTGAAAAGTTCGAGTTTCGGTTGTGGTGCGGTGGAGAGCGGAGCCTGATTTTAATTTTTACGCGAGCGAATTGTATGAATTTCTTACCGGAGCAGTTGCTTTTCGCTTTTTCCAATGTAAAGATGTGTAAACTTTTCATCGCGGAAGCCTGTGCAAATAATACACGTAAATTAACAGACAATGAACACTTACACATATAACTGATTAACTAAAATCTACTTATTATTGTTAATATAAATTTACAATTAATAAAAATAAAAATACTTTCATACGTTTCGTTATGTAGTTTGAGTAAAAACCGACCAACTTGGGAATAAAGTCATAAGAAAAGAAAAGAAAATCTAAATGGAAAAACCATTAACTCGCAATGAACACTTAAACATATAATTGATAAAAATAAAATATACTTATCGTTGTTAATATTAACAGTATAAAGAAAAAGGACATTAATGTGTGAAATACTAATGCTCGAGAAGGCTCAGATATTAAAAAAAAATAATAATAATATGAATTTTTGGCGCAAGAACAGGTCAATTTGTGAATGAAACTCCTGAAGTAACAATCGAAAGCATCATAGATGTTTGGGGCCGTGAATAGTCGAAGTATGAAAAATAAGCTTAATCAGATGGACTTGTGCAACTTTACAACGAATTTATAAAAATCAATGCAACAAAGTTATGGAGATTGGCCGCCGCTTCTATGTACACGAACGCAGGGGATTGACTTCATAAATTGCTGTACATAAGTTTATTCGGTACAATATGCCCTACGAACGAGGAAGGGGAGAAAGCTCGGGCATGCAGCTTCTATATCCTCTGCAGGCAGCGAGTGAAGCAATCACCATTATCTCGCTACATCACCAACAAGGAGTCAGGTTGCAGTGTTTTTATTTTAATATTTTTTAATTTGTTCGCATGTATAATAAAGTACATTAAGAACAAAAAAGGAATAATGCTCGGCTAAGCTATATACCCTACTGTTGAAGCGGAGTATTGGTGGGTATGCGTGCGAGTGAGGGTAAGAGGAAAGGGAGTACGGACTAACGGATTAGGAATGGACCAACGAACAGCGGGCAGTGCAGACAACTTTCTTTTTCTTACTTTACGGTATTTCGATTTATTTTTTTTCATTTTTTTTTTGTCATACGGCACGGCAAGTCGTAAAATTTCTTAACGCTCTACCGCGTTGACAATCGTTACTTTTGATATTTTTTTGCCATCCTTGATGGTTTATGTTATGTATTATTATTATTATTGATTAGTTCTAGGGAAGTTTATCACAGAGGGAATGATTATCATAAGTGAGCAAAGCACAGAATTGTACTTTATGTTAACTTTGACTGTCAAACTATTTAGTAACAGGCTAAATCTTCTTTGTGGAACTTGTATCCAATAATTGCATGGAAAAGAGAAAAATAAAAAAAAAAATGTTAAAACGGTTAAAAATTTTCCTCAATATTTCACAAAGCATTAAAAACATAAATAAACAAGTTGAATGATATATTCGTAGACATTACTAAAGTGCGAATGAGGCTTTGTGACCGTGCAATTGCCCGATGAATTGTCAACCTACATATTCACTTGATCGCTAATTCATGAGTCATACCTAACGTGCTTCTCTACGAGTTTCTGTATGTTCGTCTGCTTATACGGCCATATAACCGTCTGTGCGTTTATCTTTGCGTGCACGTGCTCGTCTGTTTTATCTTTTTTCTGCACCTTCAAGTAGAAGTTCATTTGTGCACAAAATTGTGAGTTGCTCTGTCTCATAAATTGTATTGGCGCGAAAGCTAAAACTCAATTCCTTCTACAAAAAATAAAAATTCCGAAATGCTTTTGTATATAAGCAACCGTTAGTTCGCTTTTTAAAATAGGTTCTTATGGGAATACTGTCAAACGATTATCTAAAAAGAAGAAAACCTCATAGCGTAATTTGAAGATTAACATGTTTCCTGCTGCACGTACAATTTTCAGCAAAAACCGAAAGGTACACGTGTCGAATAATTCTATTACGCTCATAAACCCAAAAAGTATTTACCCAAAATCAATAAATTTGTTACTGTGATGCGAAAATGCATGCGGAATGGCATGACATTGGCTGTCTAAAATTGTTTTCAAGACGAACATTGATTTTTCTACTTCGTTATTTTTATTGTAATATAAAGATTAACTCGTTCGTTTAGAAGTCGTCGTTCATGCAAGCATCTATTCCTTACTCAGGCAGAGAGTGGTTACAATTTTAATAAGAGACCGCCACCTTAAAAAGAAATTCAGCAAAAAGACAGCAACTGTAAAAAAAAATTCATGTGCAACTGTACCTTCCAGAATTATTATGTTTTTAATATTAGAATGCACGCTACACGTGGTTCCACTACTCTTGAAGTTCCTGCAAATTTTGAGGAAGAAATAAAATGTTGAGCTCTCGGGTCAGTTGGGTTTAGTTAATGAAAAACGTAAAAGTTCTCAAGCTAATAAGCTCCTTGTGGCTCTAAATGAATTTTTTTCTTCGTCCTACGAAATCGAAGATAGGCCGTCATTGTGGAAATACATTCATAATCCAACATTTAAACGATTTATAAAAGCTTTAGACGCCCAGCAGGATATAACGACGAAGTTTATAAATGAAGATGAATGAACAGAAACGCAAGAAAATGCGGAGAAAAGATAAAAAAATTGTTTTGGAAAAATTACCACACACCGAAAAAAATTGTTCGGTGTTGGCCACAGATATGTTATTGGAGGAATGTTTTTTATGACTTATTTGCAGACCACAACAACTTTTACGGTCTTGTAACTGTGTTTAGCTAAGATTTCCAATAAATAAAATGAATTGCGACAAACGGCAATGCAGACTTTATCTGAAAAAGACATCGACTTTCGAAAGAATGCCTTACAAAACACACCAAATCTATCTTTGCTCACAAGTGAAGCAAGGATTAATAACAGCCAGTAGTCAGATTGCTAGGGTGACCGAGACATTATATCGAAATAAACAATACTATCCAAGGCCCAATGAATACTTACCAGAACGTTGCCTACGATCTGAACAACACGGACGAAGGTGTTGCCGGTGAAGGTGAAGCCGACCAGTCTATTTGTATTTCTAACTTTCGAATTGAATTGCGTAACGCACGTTTAATACGTAATTTCGAAGTTGAGTTCCGTTAGCTATTATATCGAAATGAACATTACCATGGGAATGCCAGCGAATACTTACCACGTTGGCTGCGATCCCAACAAACGAACGAAAATGTTAACGTTTTAAAGGCGAGCAGTCCAATCGTGTTTCTACCTTTCGGTTTTGCACCGCGTAATTGTGTTGGTCGTAGGGTAGTTTCCATGGAACTTCAATTGGGTGTCGCACGCCTAATACGTAATTTCGAAGTTGAGTTTCATTGCAGCACCGAAAACGCATTCGGCAATATACAACTCATTGTGCCTAATATACCGTTAAGATTCCAATTTATTGATTGCGAGATGTAACTTTTTGATTTCATGTGTCAGTACATATCCTTAGTGAAAAATTTGTACAGCCATATTTCAGTGTTGAAGGCAGCTTCATGTTTTTAATGGCTGTTTCTTATGTCGAATGAAGAAATGTAATGTGAAATTATTTAAATGGAGAACTTAAAATCGGACAACGTTTTTTTTTGATTTGATTTTGGCTGAATCGAATATTTAATATTCAATTTTGCTGGACAATAATTAGTCCTTTATTTCTTCACTTTTAGCACTTTCGTTCCCTGATTTCTCACTTTGTCCTACATGGATATTTTCTTACTCGATAGTCTAAATTTTTGTTTGCCTTTAGTTTGTTCTTTTTCTTCCGCTCAGCTTACGACCGATTGTCTATGGAATTTGAAAATATATTTACGTACATAGTTTTTTACCTCAATTTTTTCTTGTGGCCTTGTTATGTTCTAATGTTTTGCAGTTTCACAGCAACAATTTTCAAATTCGCTTTCATGAAAAACAAAGATTCATTTGTAGTATGATGCTGCCTTTATGGATAATGCATCTCTGAGACGTGTGATAATATATTACTCGACTGTAATACCAAATTCTTATTGATGTAAAGTATTTTTCCAGCCTAGTCTTGCTGATTACCTCTGCCAAACAGTTTTGTAATCTTATACAAAATCACCTGACTTCTAGTTTGAAGGTGATAACTCTCCGTATCTTGTGCTACCCATATATGACAATGTATATCATCAAATAATCTTATTTAAAGTTACCTGACTTTTCCTTTGATCGTGAAAGATCTTCGTGTCTAAGACCATCTATACATGACGACTTACTATATATGTATTCTTAAAAGTGAATGTAGATCGTCACAAGTCTTATTTTTAAAAATTTCGCTACACATAAAAAAGCAAAAAAATATTTGTCAACTTAAATAATCCTCGAAAAATGGACCAAACCTTAATTGGATGTCATAAATTAGGATGAGATGAGACTGCTTTTTGTTCCCTTTCATATAAGCGTTCTCACAAAAAAAATCATTGTACGACAACAAGATCTAATTTATGGCATTTTATAATGAAAACTAATAGAAAGAGTGATTGATTTAACCTCATCGGTATATTTTTTAGATCTATTTCGAATCCTTTTTTTGACCTATCCTCTCATGAAACGTCTTCTTTCCTCTCTATATCAGAAGATTGCTTACAGCGCTGATGATTCACGCATCACACTACTTATAATAATACGTTGACTTTGTTCTTCCTACGTAATGTTTTAAAAAGCATTTGAATCTTTCATAAAAGTAATTAAAACTTTTAAGTGTAATTTGTGTACAAACTGTATTTCGTTGTCTTCTTTCTAAATTGTTTATTTGTTTAAATTTAATGCAGATATGATCTTATGAAAGGAAGCTTTAAAACTCTAAAACTCCTCTCATTTTTATTCGTAATATTAAATACTATTTTTATTAATCAGCCATTTGTAAAAGCTATTTATGTGTGCTACATATCACATCAACTCTCACGAGAAGAAAACTCACGTACAGTTTTATGTTAGCATATTAATCGCTACCATCATTTCTAGCTTTAGACACAGGCTCAGACTTCGATCGTTCCATAAGGTTTCTTTCTTGCTTACTTTGGTGCGCCATTATGTGTCCACGTTTGTGAACGCCTGGAGTTTCGTTTCCCCCTCTTTTTTTTATAAAACCCCGTACACCAACACCGCAGACGTTGCACATGTATGAGCCATAAGGAAATATACGCTAAATATATACATATGGCTGATTAACATGAAATTTGATGGATTAAAACCGCTGGCACCTCGCCTATATCATGGGCAACGAAACTTAAGAATTTACTACTCATCCTCGAATAGGAATTGGGCCAACGCTCCTAGTATTATAAATAATAGTTAAAGACGGAAACTGCATATCTTATTATCCCGGCCTTGCATTGTTTTATTAACTATTCAGAAAAAGGAGACGCCCGTCCATAAAGCGCTTCTGATTTTTAAAAGCAATTAATGACTTCCTGCGTATTTATTTCGGGTGGTCTCGCTGCGAGTGTATTCTTTTTTTATGTTCGTAAGATATGTATAGTATGTGCGTAGAGCGTGTATGAATGTTATTATAGCTAATGCCAATGCTTATTGGAAAGGCCCATGAGATCTAAACCTTTGCAAATAAAATTTTGCGTAAATATTAGTTTGGGGAAAAAGAAATCCATTATTTTTATATGAACTTCAGGGCTTTATTTAACATGCTTCGGATTGTCCGATTTGGGTCAAATATGCACCGTTTTGTTGTACGATTTGTTGCCATTTTAAAGGTAACTTCAAAATGCCTCTCTCATAGAAGTCCTGGTCTCTATTTGCAAAAAACTCTAGTAGTCGATTTTCACAATCCTCCCTAGATTCCAATTTTTTATCATTAAAAAAATTTTGCAATGCAAGAAAAAGATTATAATCGCTTGGTGCCAAGTCCGGACTGTATGACGGATCCATTAAAACTTCCCAACCAAGCTCCCGAAGTTTCTGGCGAGTCACTGTAGATGTGTGTGGCCTAGCGTTGTCCTGGTGGAACCTGGTGGAACGACACCTCCCCTGTTGGCCAATTCTGGCCGTTTCTGGTCAATCGCTATCTTCAAACGGTCCAGTTGTTGACAGTAGAGATCAGAATTTAGCGTTTGGCCATATGGAAGCAACTCATAATAAATAATCCCCTTCCAGTCCCACCAAATGCATAGCAAAACCTTCCTGGCCGTTTGAGGTGTTTCACCGCTCTTTGACCACGATCGTTTTCGCACAGGGTTATCGTATGTGATCCATTTCTCATCTCCAGTCACCATCCGTTTAAGAAATGGGTCTATCCCATTCCGTTTGGCCAAGGCTTCGCAGATGGAAATTCGATCCATCATGTTTTTTTCTGTTAATTGGTGTGGCACCCAAACATCGAGCTTCTTTTTAAATCCAGCTTTGTGTAAATGGTTTAAAACTGTTTTATGGTCGATTTTTAGCTCCTGGGCGATGTTACGACTGCTAACATGCCGGTCAACTTCGATCACTTCTCCGATTTTATCGACATTTTCGACGACCGGCCTACCTGTGCGAGGTGCATCTTTAACATTAAAAATTCCTGAACGGAATCTACGAAACCAAAATTGCACATAATTGGCTGTTACAGTATCGGAACCATAAACACCATTCACAATTTTAGCCGCCTGGCTTGCATTTTCGCCTTTGTCAAAGAAAAACTGTAAAATGTACCGAATTTTCTCTTTCTTCACTTCCATTTTTAACACGCTGTAACTCACAACTGAATGCACCAAACAAAAAACAGCAAAAGAATTTTTTTTACTGCGAAATGTCACCTTTCCAATGAGCATAAATATGAAATTGTTTGATCGATACTTACTACAAGAAATCTATCAGTGCAGCCATCTACCGAAAAAATAATGGATTTCTTTGTCCCCAAACTAATATTACTAAAATATGACGAGCAAGTGGTTTCCGTTAGCGACGCAGCAAACTCTTTGTCAAACTTGTTCTGTGTCTAAAGGGAAGCAGAAAATAACAGCAAATTAAGCAGTCTTTTCTGCTGAAATTTGTTAATCCATTTAAAGACCCTTTTTGTATGTATATCTGCATAAACACTCGTAAAAACGCAACAGAAGCTTGATAACTGCGTTGGTCTACATTAACAAATTCAAACTTTGCGTGTGAAAAAAGAAACCAAAGATTTGTTGAAGATGTGAATTTAATTGGGATGCCCATCCGACCATGTGCGGCAAGAAGTAATTTGTCGAAAAGATGGATCGATGCTCACTAGGGGATTTTATCACATTCACCGTGAAAGAAGAAGAATCAGAGTATATTCACTTAGTCGAAACGTTTGCAACAGCCAGAAGGAAACGTCAAATATATATACATGTATGTATATATATAATATATATATTATATCTATTTATCGAATACTGAAATGATCTAGACATGTACGCCCCTTTACTTTGTTTTCTTGCATTTCACCGCAGCAATTTTTGACAAATTGATAAATTGGTATTGGTGCACTTATGAAAACGGCTCATGTCGAACGATTGTAATGGTTTTACTTGACCAACTCGAAAAATATGTCCTCCCAAATAAAAGGTCAATTGTGAAGATATTTTTTCTTCTATTTCTCCAATATCACATATGTGGTTTTATAGTTTTGAATAGTTCTATGAGTATTATGATTACATTTGAAAAATGGAGGTTTTAGGTTTTTTGTATCATTTTCTAATACCCTTAGTAGAGTATAATATGATACTTTAATTAACCTTACAAAACATATCCAATTAGTGTTCGGTTTTCGCAACTAATTGGAAAATAAGCAAAAAGACTATAGTGGGCCGGGGCCCCACATTAAACACTCTAAATCATTTCATTTAACTAAGTTATGCAGGTAAGTAAATGCTTCAAAATTGTGGTTCCATCCAAACCGTGAACAGCGTACCACTAGCATACAACACTTCTTAGGCCAAAATACTTAAGTGTACCAAATCGCGAGAAAATATATCAATAATTGCAACTTGTACCTTGAATAAAGGAGCACAAGACGTATAGATACGATATAATACGGATAGGTGGATATAATAAAAGTTGAGTTTATCTCAAGTACTTCGCCGCACTGTTTGCATGCGAACAACCTTAACATACCCTTGTACCAAAAGTTGTGTAGGATATAAAAAATTGTCTGTCCATTTCTACAGCTCACTGAAGCCTCAATTTTGTAGAATTATTCATTGTGAAACGTGAGGCCGTCAAAAATTCATTTTATGCTAAAAGTATTATTATTATTTTTTTTTTGATATCTAATCAGTTCTCTAAAACTTTTCACGTTAATATTTATTGGCCTGCTTAAATCTATGCGATATCAGAAATTTATGATCGTTAACTTTGATCGCTTTTTGCCGTTCCTTGTGCTTTCTGAGAAATGCATTTTCGGTACGTAAGGAGAACATTGGCACATTATTGTTATGATTGTTAATTAATTCAGAGAGAATTCATATCAGAGAGAAAGCGAATGAAGCACCGAATTGCAATTTAACGTTGCGTAGTATAGTTACGATTTAATAATAGACTAGCTTCGCATTGCAGAACTTGTATATGATAATTGTATCGAAAAGTGTAAAAGTAAAAGAGATGCTAAAGCGTTTAAGAATTTTCCATAAAATTTCACAAAACAATAAACAAGTAAGTGAACCAATTTAAAAAAATTTTCGTAGATATTACCCAAGATTGCATCATTCTTCGACTTTGCGTCAAGAAGTCGCGTAAACTGAAGTCTTTGTGTCCACGTGAGAGGACAGTTGATCGTCCAAACTTTATAATACGTGCGTCGAGTTGCTCTATGTTTTCGTATGTATGTCTTGCTCATCTTCCCTCTGCGTTTCCGTGCGCTTTTCAGTGTCATTAAATAATTTAAGCAGAACGTTTTTCTTAATAATGTCTATACGTATATAAGTGTAAGTTTCAGCGTAAGTTTTTGCGAAATTTTTCTAAAAAAAACTGAAGCAGAACGGCTATATAGGAACAAGAAAACATTAGTTCACTGAAATTTCTTTTAAGATGATTTTAGATTTAGTTTCTCTGATTCATTCTTTGTAATATAAAAATTGATTCTTTCTCTCAGAATTCATCGTTCCAGCACGCATCTAGATCATCATCAGACAATGTTCTCACCGAGAGTAGTCACGATTTTAATAAAAGGTGGGAAGAAGCTAAGACTTTCGAAAAGATGCCTGGTGACAGCAAATTAAGTCTGTTAAGAAAAGTTATACCTGGTGGTAAATATTACAAATTAGATGCGATTCAAATGCTTACAGCTTACAAAAAAGATTGGGGTGATATCGCCATTATAAGAGGTTTTTTGGGCAAAAGCGATTTTATTATTACCTATAACCCTGAAGATTTTGAAGAAGTCTTACGTAATGAGGGTGCATGGCCGGTCAGGCCGGGCATGGAGACTTTGTACTATTATCGCAGTGTCTGGAGAAAGGATTTCTATCAAGGAGTTGAAGGCTTATTGTCAGCGTAAGTAAGTCAACCACAACTTGACTACAATCTATTGTAATCAAATTATTTCTTTATTAGAAAGGGTGAAAATTGGGGCACATTTCGTAAGATAGTAAATCCAATTTTAATGCAACCAAAAAATGTTAAGCTGTATATGCAGAAAATGTCACAAGTCAATAGAGAATTTATAGACAGGTAAGAATGGAGCTATTATAGAGATTTAAGCCAGCAGTAATAGAAGCGAAGTATCACATAGTACGTGTAAAAAATTCATGAGGAGAATAACTGATCGTGCACTTGTGTTCAACAATTATTGCTTTGATGCCACAAAAGCTCACTAACATTATTACCATTATTATTAATAGAATTCGTGCTATACGTGATCCCAACACTCTCGAAGTGCCTGCCAACTTTGAACAAGATATAAAACGTTGGACACTGGAGTCTGTCGCTGTGGTCGCGTTGGATCAACAGTTGCGTTTAATTAACGAAAATCATAAGAATTCTCAGGCTAAAGAGCTGTTCGAGGCACTGAATGACTTTTTTTCCTTGTCCTTCGAAGTTGAATTTAGATCATCCTTATGGAAGTACATCCATACACCAAAATTTAAGCGACTGATGCGAGTTTTAGATACTTTGCAGAAAGTTACAATGGCATTTATAAATGAAGCCATAGAACGAATAGAAAAGCAAGAAAATACTGAACCAAGGAAAGGTGAAAAAAGTGTTTTGGAAAAATTATTACAAATGTTCTGCAAAACTTACCATACTTAAGAGCATGTATCAAGGAATCACAACGCATTTACCCCTTGTTTGTCGGTAATGCAAGGATTAATCAAAGAGATGTCGTTTTAAGCGGTTATCGAGTACCAGCTGGTAGTCAGATTGCTATGATGGCCGAGTCATTATATCGAAGTGAACATTATTATTCCAGAGCTAGCGAATTCTTACCAGAACGGTGGCTGCGATCCAAACAGGCAAGTGGAGATCTTAGCGGTTTAAGGCCAAGCAGTCCATTTGTGTTTTTACCTTTCGGTTTTGGACCGCGTAGTTGTGTAGGTCGTCGGGTAGTTGCTATGGAACTTGAATTGGGTGTCGCACGCCTAATACGTAATTTCCAAGTTGAGTTTCATCATAGCACCAAAAATGCTTTCCGCAATATACAACTTTATGTACCGAATATACCGTTAAAATTCAAATTTATCGATTGCGTGAAATAACTAAAAGTTAGTGTTTTTCTTCTTCTATGTATACAAATTTATGTAAGAAAAAGTACATACATGTATAGACACTACTAGGTGTATAACATTTTTTAATTTTATAGCACAAAGTGATTTACACATTTTGTAATTTTGCTTTATTATGAAATCCACACAACATCCATTTTCCTATTTTCTAGATCCACTCGTATTATTTTTTAAACCCTACACCACTACACTTGTGGTAAAGAGTAAATTGCAATGTTCAAAATTTTTGGCAAAAGTAGCTAAGTAGTAGTGTTCCGGCATTCTAAATTAGTGTCAAAATTTTAAACAGGCTGGCCCAATCTTTAGAACCCCCTCTCATATAACCGTTTCTACGGACACTAAAGCTTTATATGGTAAAAAAGTCGATCTTTCAATATTTCATGGTGAAAATTGGCTCATAATGCTAAGTTGTCAAAAAAACGACCTTACCGAATTTGGACCGCGTGGGTCTATTTTTTAGCTACCATAAGCATTCTCAAGAAACGTAAACCCTTATATGCTAAATGCGCACGATAGTAAGTAATTAAAAAATTATGCGGACCAAATTTCAACGACATTGGTCTATTTCTTGGCCACATTCAATATAAGATATCTCAGGAGTAGTCAGCTCTTCGGAAAAAGGCTTCGCCATTAATATTTTATTATGAAAATCAATTCATAATATCGGTTGAGCAAAAAATTAAAGGTAGAGAGTTTGGAATGTTTTTTTGGAATCATCATTATCTTACGAGAAGTGAACACAATAGGGAATCGTGAAGACTTCCTACGGTTCATATTCTTACGTTTAGTCGTACTATTCCTCCCATTTTCTGGATTGTTGCATCTGATTGGCACGGAGACCCACAAGTTTGGACAATTTTTCTCTAATTAATTTCCAGTACTCGATTACCATGTAATGCCGAATTGCCCTTTTGCACCTAATGGCGTCTAAATTATACTATTTTATGAAGAAATATGATCTAGATAAGTGACTTGATGTTTACTGCACTTTCTAAATATCCACTTTGGACTATCATGATCTATTTGTCCGGCCCCTTTTCATAAAATGTAAAAGCAAGTCTTTGTATGACAATAAATTAACATAAATATTTAAATTTTTTGTTTTTTATAACGGACAGGTCCTTTTTTTAGCCGGCTGTAATGCATTATCTTGCTTGTAGTACTTACATCAAATTTCAATTGAAATGAATAGAATTCAATCTCATTTGTCTTGTAACGTGACACTTTATTGTTTTTATTTGAGATAAAAAGCTAAAGAAGCCGATGCATAAATGCTTCAATACTGTTTAACTTTCGATAGATTTTCCTTTGACTGTCTCTTAAGCTTAAAAACGGGTAAATGAAAAGTTACTCACTTAACAATGCGTGAATATTTTCACTCAAAATTCTTTGAAAGGTACGCCCTGAAGAAAAGAAAATAAAATTAACAATAAACTAAACCTAAATTGTAAATTATGTTCAAAGTACACATCAATTATAAAACTATAAAAATCGATAAAAAAAAAACGTTGTTATCATATCTTGTTATCTTTTCGATGCTCTTGGGTGAAGGTGAAACAATGATTTGAAAAAAAATAAAAACAAATCAATGAAAACACATTGTAATGCGTATTCAAACTGCGTATTTTAAATTTATGCAAGTATTGCTAAATAGGTTCTTCCTTTTAATAATAATTTATTTTATTATTGTAAAAAATTCCACTTTCATTACTCTATAACACTTATAATTTTTAATACTATTCTCAATATGATATATTTAATATATTTTTTTTATAATTAATTATTATAATAAAATATTACATTTAACAACGGTTTGCGATTTACTTTATTATAACAGCCTTAAATGCGTAATGAGTTATGTACACTAATTTCTATAATTAAATTGATTTTTATATCCATCACTGGCGGATGTATTACACATAAGAATTTTTACCAAATATATATTAAAAGTATGTGTATTCGCGATCAGCATTCGATTTGCGATGATATTCACGACTATATGAGCGAAAGTTAAGTACATACCGGAGTGCTGGATTTCTTTAGCCGTTGAAAACAAATCCGCCTGGCACTCGTAATGGTTATAGATCGAACCTACTATTCATATTGGTCGGATCTTTTATTGGTCTATTAACAGTTAAGAAGAAATAGACGATTGTCTATAAAATGGAGTTAATCGTTTAAAGATGCCAAGCGACTCCTTGTGCACTTATTTCGGTTGATAAGTAATCAAGATTCGTTTCAAGTCGAGCATATTTCCACCCTACGTCACTTGTGGTATATTTCTTGTATTATTACTAAAACGATTGAATAACTATACCAGGCGATATGGTATGGGATGTCTGATGGTCGGCCTTGCCCGCCTATAATATTAGTTGCTATTTTAAGTTCGTATGCATAGTAAGGTCCGCATATATAATACCAATAATTATATTATAATAATACCTATAATTGTTACTATACTGATGGTTCATTTATTCACACGGCACTTATTTATCCATTGCGTTCGGCTCTGAAATGTTTCATAAATAAGTCTGAACTAACCACGGCCAAGTAAGCAGAGCAGATGTTTTTCAGGCTTGACCTTTGTTACATAGTGTATACAAATAATGATTTACTTTTCAAGCGTCGTCTTTATCGGCCTAAACAAATTTGATCAACTCATCCTAACATTTTATCAGCAATATTTCGACCGAAAATTGGTATACTTTGTCTGTTTTGGACAAGGACAAGTCCAAATCTAAAGTCGATTTGATGGGAACATTTTTGTGACCGTATTTTAAAAGAGTCGTTATAAGAAAAAGAAAATTTTTCAAAGTTTCTCCGCAGAAATCGCTGAATTATACTATATCGGCGTACCAAATTGAAGTAGTGAAGAAAGTGTCAATTGTTGAACCTGCTCCTATATAGCAGGTGAAAACTGACCAATGACAGTAATTCGGCATAAGAACTAATTGTACTGAATTTGGATCTCCCATGTCTATTTTTTAATTCCCATTACATTTAAGGGTTCTCATGAATAACTGTACCTTACAGGTCTTTACATCGAGACGCGATAATATTTTTCCCATTTTACCAGAAAAACGAGTAAATAACTCTGTTAGCAGAAATGATGTAGGTTATAAGAGAGTCGACCTAGTCCAAATTTTCGTCTTTCTTTTTGTCTGACAAATGACTAAGATTTAAAAACTTTAGTTATTCTTACGTAATCGTCCTTCGGACTATTTTTGTAAAATTACACGTATTTTGTCGCGCACATACGGAATCTTCACAATACAATTTAAGTTCCGGTTATAATTACATGTATAACATAATAGGCGTTATGCCCAACTCATAAATTATAAATGAACGATAAGTTTATAAAGGTTAATACTTCTCAGCAATATGTAGACTTGCTCCCAACTGCTTGAGTCTCATACTTTGTGAGTTTTTAAATGAAGGGCTACCTTACAGTTCTGAGCTGAGCGGCAGTTTCAGAACTCGTCAGTACATATGAAGAAAAGCATTCAAAATCACTTACGATAATTATGTAAAGTGATTGCCATTTTTTCATTTTTTAATAAAACATTATTTGAATAAATTTTTAAAAAAATTTATTTGTGAAGAAAATCGCGTCGAACTTATTTCCCTACAAAAAATAAGTGATTGAGTTTTTTGAGGCCTTATCATGCTGCTTACGCAGTAAACATTGCTTCGAATTAAATGTTTATCTCCTACATGCAAAGAAAATACTTTGCACTTATTTTTATGAAAGCTTTTGCAGCAATTGTAAATTCGTTGTATATATTGAATAATTTTTCGTTTTTTTTTTTAAGAAATTTCTTTGCCTGGATGTAAATGTGAGATTATTGCAATGCATTCACTCAATAAATCATTTCATTTACATAATGCAAAGACGTAAGAGAGGAAAATACAAAGAAAAAAAATAATTTGACTTATTTTAAAGTTGTTTTTTCCCTTTTCGCTTGCGTTTTATTTATTATGTACAAACGTCTAGGAATTGTTTGCAAAGCCTATGTATATAAATAAATATGTCTATGTATATATATATATATATATACATATATATATGTTCTATTTGCCTCGGGTTGAATATAAATGATTTCTGTCATGAATTAAGTTTATGACAGGTTTTTCAACAAACACACCTATAAGGCTTTATAGATGTACTTTGATGAAAAGTTAGTAGAAAGACGTTAGTACTCAGAATACTAAGCAGAATTATTCAAAGGAGTGTTATTTGCTATTTTCTTAAATTTGAAGAAGTCTGGGGTAGTTAATAATCTGTCCTTGTTTATTTTGATCTTAAAACTTCACTTTCCAGTCCGGTTTTATTGTCCTAGTTGAGTCAGAGTGAAGTCTCAAGAATTTTTCTTTCAATTTTATGTACAGCCACGGGACGTGGATAAATTTATCGGGTATAGCGGACGGCGAACTACACTAGTTGAATTTTGATGATGAGTGATGTGAAAAAGTGCATTATAGTGAAGAAAATACAGAAATTTGCTTGTCTGTAAATTCGCGAAGAACGCTAGCAAAACGCTTGTTCACACCAATAAAATTAAAGAAGATTTCTTATTATCACTTGTTGATCACAAGAGTATGACATTTTTTTTTTTTTCTTTCTCTTAATGCGTTCAATGTGCCGAATTCTTTCCCTCTGACTTTACATTAGCTTTCTAGTTTAGGATTTACTTCGTTGTGTATGCATTAATACCTGTCAGTTAATTTATTCAATTGTGTTTCCGAGTTAAGATTTTTTGTGCGATCACATTATAGACATCGTTGGTAAACTCAAGTTTTATTTTATGGTAAGCTTTTCATTCTTAAACAATCACGCAGACGAACGAATACTTACGACGAAGCAATTCATTATTCTCTCAGCCTATTAGATCTGCAAGGACTGCGATATAGATATAACTAAGCAAAAATAATATGACTTATGTAAATATTAGTTATATTACCTCCCTTTACAACTGCAAGTTATATCACTTCTTTCTATTATTATAAATGGAGGGACAAAATTATTGCGTAAATATGGCTTTATAAACGGCTTTATCCAAAGATGACGCTAATAATAAGAAATAACAAAATTCTTTCTTCTCCTAACAAGAGAGCTACTTGTATCCTACACAATTTGTGATGTAAGTGTACGTTAAGTACATGCGAACGGATGCAAAACACAGAAGGACTTAGGATACACCGATCAATTCAGGACAACTTTCTGAATTATGATAACTTTCTGAATCGATTTAAACTTGTCTGTCAATCTGTCCATCAATCCATCTGTCTATCTTTTTTCGTGTCGATCAAGCCGCAGGTTGCAATATTTGCGATATTTTTATGAAATTTGGTACACTGACTTGTTTTGGCAAAAGTACGTACGCTTTTGAAAACGTTTCGGATCGGACCACTTTTTCGCCCACTTTCCATATAACTGGTTCTTTTGAAAAGTGATTTTGTGAATAGCTGTGTTAAGTGAAGGGGGGTCGAGAGTGTCACTATAGTGCTTTCGCCTCTTATCTTTAGTTTGTGGTCGTATAATTCCACAAATTCATTTTATTGCATGTTCTTTATAAATAGACTGAAACATTAATATATGCAATTTGGAATATAGGCGGCAGATGAATATAGTGAATATATATGTATATGTATATGTAAATTCAATATGAAATAGCAAACATGATTGCGAAAGGATGTAGAAACTCTTAAGTTTTTATGCTGAGACCCTTTTGCCGATCCCAGGGTTAACGTCTATAAATTCACGCAATTTCGAGCGATTCGATTTAGTAGAAACAATTAACGGAGATCACATATATGCGAATCCATTCGTACTTCCAGATATCCGCCTTTTTGTCGCTTGTTATTTCAAATCTCAAGGCCGCAAAAGTAAACTTGAAACATTTTAAGATGAATTGATGATGGACGAATTGTATTTATACAGAATCGGGGGAAAAACCTGAAAAGTACTCATCCACAAATACGCGTAGATTGGCAAAATAAATTCGAAACAAAACAAGTAGCTATGATAGCAATTTATATTGTTATAAAAGCTTAGTTGGTTCCGCCCAAGGCAACCACGGTTGCTAAGCAGTTGACACATTTGCCTTTTTCTCTTTCTATTCACAGTGCTAGTTGTGTTGTTGCGTTAGTCCTTTTATTTTGCTTTCTTTGACTTTTAGGAGGATAAAATCAAACGCACGTTGTCGTTAGCCGCGTAGTACGTGTCATTTCAATGCTACCGAAATGTCTTTTAAAAAATAACGATTTAAATGTTGTACGAAATTGTTTTGACATTAAACCATATAAAACGAAGTCAATAGCGGCATTTATTAAAGCCAACAAATCCATCAATTCACCAAAGGGCGGATAGCAAGCGTTAAAGAAGCATTTCTCCATTATACCCGACAATAATCCTAGAATACCTTGTGGAAATTCGGTGACCAGAAATAGTATAAGCACAGCCACTAGCAGCATGGTAGTGCGATCAGTTCGTCGATCACATTTCGGCGGTCTAAACAGTAATATATTAAAATAATTCTTTTCAACTAATTCGGTGGTTTTTTCTTCTCTGCTCTTTTTTTTTCTGAGTGTATCACGTAATCTTTTACTTACTTGCTTGAATGTTTTTGCAAGTGCTGTTGTTGGCCCTTCTGGGGATTGCTATATGCTTTGAGTTTTTGTTTACGCTTCGAGGCTTCACATAACACTTTCACCAAAACGAAACTGATTATTGATAGTATACAACATGGCAGCAGCTTTATAATAACTGAATGTATCCAAAAATTAATTCTGTATTTGTTTGTGAAAGAAGAGAATATAAGAGATCGATATTTTCGTATTTCATGGTTAATATTTCTTATAATATGATTTCTTTGACTTTATTTATATTTTTACTGCCGCTTACCTATACAATTTGGTTTCTTTGTCAGCGTCAACATAATACCATGGCACCATTGTAGGCGGTCCAATATCTTCTTGTATTTTGAATACGAATAACGTTGGGAAACAAACAATTGGTGAGATGACAAATGAAAACACTATCGTTTCGTTGCAATGCGACAATAGAAAAGTGGCACAAGATCCATGTGGTTGTCTGACAAATAATAAAATAACATCGTATAAAGAATAGCGAAAGAGGAAGACTATGTATAAAAGAATATGTGTAAGTGAAATAGAAGTGTAAATATATATATAAAAAAAAAAAAAAAAAAACTAAACAAACGACGTTGGATGATGATGCTGAGCTTAATGGCATATAAAATTTATTTATATTTGTGCTTAAATGTTGAGTTAATCTGTCAGTTACACAGATTGTTAGGCAACAGATTTTAGACATTACAAACAAAACCGTTTATTATATATGATAGCAGGCAGCCGTCGCTGGTTGCTAAGATTACAATTTTTAATAATAACCAGTAGAAAATGCATAATAAAATAGAAACGAAATATGTATGAATTTTTCATGTTTAACTTGAACTCACTCCGTATATATGAATATAAATTTGTAATTGTTTGTCCAACTTCTGGATTCGGCGAAATGTTAATTATTCACTTAACTAATATCAGATGCTCTTCAATATGGTAACCAAACAAGTAATCTTCACAAAGCCGAACTATAGATCAACATTCAATGAAAGTTTACCTAGATAATATATTTATCAGATACATATTGGATAGGTATTAAATAGGGTTGATAGTAGACACGTTTTAGGTAAGCACCGTATTAGATATCTATCGCTGAAAATATTTAAAAATTCGCATTAAAAGCGTAAAAGATACGTATTAGACACGCCTAAGATCCACATTAGTTACTTGTCGGATATGTATTCAAGAACATTCGCATTAGAAAGTTGTGTATATATTAAAGCTTATTAGGTAGGTAAATTGATAGGATCGAATTATGAAATGTTATAGTTTTTTAGTTTTCTTTCTCTCTCACTCTCTCTCCCTCTGTATACGTACCTTATGGCTACATAACGCCATACGGCCAGCGTAACCGTCAAACCAATTGAAATTGTGTGTAATACTTGGGTGAAGTGCATATGGAACAGGATAAAAACTGCCCAAGCATAACTTAAGTCTTTTTCGCCTGTAAAATGATAACAGAAATTAAGTCACATTTATGACAGCACGAGTGTGCGAAAGAAAAGGAAGGAAAGCAAAGTATTTTTGAACTATCTCATCCAATTACCTGGTTTCATGTAAATGTATTGATAGGAAATAAACGGGATATACTCGATCATAATGAACATGTCAGCTACTGCTAACCACTTCAAAATTTTATTAATCGGGGCTTTAGCCATATCTTTTTTCGTTAGAACAATTACGTTCAATATGTTGGCTATAGTGCCGAAGATACAAATCTGCAAACGAAAGAAACCAAAATTAAAGTTTCATTTATTTAATTTGAAATAATTGTTAATATTCTTTATTTCATTATAGTGGATGGGTAAGTGGTGGCATCGATGAATTTTTGCTTCTTCTTTTATTGTATTATAAATGTTAGCTTTGTAACTAAAGTTACGCAAAATATAGTTACATTTCACTTACCATTAGAGCCACGTAACCGTGTACGCTATTGTAAGCTTTTAACAGTTGATAAAATTCTCCTTTACAGTAATCTGAACATTCATCAAGATTAGAGCCAGCTCTGCCTCCCATTGAGCCTTCTCTAATGCCCACGCCATCACCGCCACCAGCAAATCCACCATCTTCAGGCCGATAACTGGTCGCGTTATGAAAGCGTTGTTGATAGTGTTGCATAAACTCTACAAACATACGAAGGTCGGTATCTGTAACAGTTATGTTCGTTGCATTGGTATTCATGGCTGACGTATTGCTACTAAAGTTACTCAAAGTCGTCATTGTTTTTTCTCTTGATTGATATTAAAGGTGTTTTGATGCAAATAAAAACGGATCAGATGGCATTATAGAGATTTATGTTTTACTCTTATAAAAATATTTTTCTCTTCCATTTAATTGAACAGTTTTCCTGTGTTAAGCTGGCGTTGAATTTCTTAGGTGCACACTTAGGTCACACTTTTTAGATTAACTAAAACAAAAAAGAAAAAGGAAAATATTTCTTTTTTAAATTTCAGCGGCAAATAAACTCTAAGCGCGAAAGATAATTATACCGGGCAATAAACTATCAGAAGCACTACTTCTACTTCAATATCTATTATGATTAGTTGAGCCTGTTTGCACGGCATTCGATATCGGCATCTATACGTCTATTGTATAAGAAACATTTTTCGTACTATTTTACAGGCATTAAATTAAGCGAAAGCTCTACTGGTAGGCACCCTTCTACAAATGCGCATCAGAAAACGCGGAAACTTTTTCCTGTTTTGATTAATAAATACCAAACAGAAGCTTTGTATTTTAACTTAAAAATAAAAAAGAAAAAATAAATAAATAGCTCGGGGAAAAAAGTCGCGGCTTCAGAATTGGGTAACTCTAGCAATGCTAAGCCCACAAAAGTGCACTACATGTATATGAAATTCATCACCAACAATCTAATTAAGTAAGAAAATTATATTCAATTGAGTGTGGCCGATTGTTTCTATTATGGTGGACACACACTGCAGGATCGTTCATAGAATATACGTACAAAATTTTTATATTAGTTTTGAATAATAAGTTAAATAAAAAGGGGTTTTTTTTGCCTGCGGCTTCTCAGTTTGCGTGGCACTACGGACGCGTCTTTCGACTGATTGATCCCATCTTCCATATTGAATTGCATCTTTGGAATAAATTGCATGCAGAGAGCCTCGGACAGACGGCTTGAATTGATTCAGAGCATGATGCCGAGCTTGAATGTATTCACTTTAGTGGTTCTGTAAGCGTTCCTTGTGAGAGTTGTATTAACTTGGAGAGGGAAGTGAATGTGTTCTAAAAAGTAGACAAAATTCTGCGAAATTCGCTGCATGTTACAAGATCACTTCGATTAGAAGTTTTGCAAACTTGTGAAAAAGTTCATGATACTTTGAACAAGGGTGCTTTACTGAAATGAGTACCACATAAATGATTTGATCCTTTCCACTGTGGGAATATCCATGTTATGGACGGACTGCGCTCTAGTCGAACAATCGCTGAGAGAATTGGTGAATGATCGATGAAGATTGCGTCGTTTCATTTCACAACATCGTTGCGAGCTCAATACGTTGGGTGGAATACAGTTTAGAGAAATTCGAATAAGAGTGAGTACAAAAGGAAGCTCGGTGTTTGGTTATCACAAGAAGTGAAAGTGAAAAATTTAATAGACACAATTTGCATCTATCAAAAGTAATTGAAACTAAACGAAATCAAACGGGCATGGAAAAATGACTCATATATGATAACAATGTAGAGGCAACGGCATGAAGCCGCAAAAATGGTGATTAAAATCGAATTGTGTTTTCGAGGACTCCGAAACAATCATTAAACTTGACCAGACGATTGGGACCACTCTCTAGCGGCAACAACTTAAGCCATTAAAGCGCGAAATTCGGAAAAAGCGTCCAAAATTAGCTAAGATTATAGCAAACGCATCATCCGTCATTATAGTAATGTCAAATCACGTACAATTTTAATATTTGGCAGGAAAGTTTTGATATATTCAGCGTATAGCCCGGCCCCTTCCCGATTATCTCCTAAGAGTTGAAGAAAATATGAAAACCTCTTGGTTCATTTCTAAATCAGTTTTCAATTAAAAAAGTTTACGGAATACAAGAAAAATATGTTGGAGTTTTAGTTGACAAATACCACGAACTTTCTTCGTGATCTCTTTCATACATATATATACCTAATTTAAATTTTGAAGGTATCATTTTTCATCATCACACAATTGCACAAAATAATGCGCGACATTTAATCGATAATCAAGACTGATGCTGATGCTGAAAACTATTGTGAGACATGTTCTTACATAATTTGATAAGAAAGTTAAATCAATATTGATTGTCGACGATATTGGCTGATAAGAAATCACAACAAAAAAAACGATAGAAATTTATCACACATCCAATAATCGCATTAATATTAATAGCACAACTAATTTGTTAACAACTATTCATACGCAGATAGTGTTACAATTCAAGCCAGAAAGCAACTTGATTTTGTACAAAAATATGATTTGTTAACGTCATATCACTGTGTTGTTTTGCGTAAACGCTCAAAACTAATCGATACCATACCGAGTGTATACGCGCGCACTACAATAACTTATCTGGTTTATGTGGGCACATATGTAACGTAAGTGCTTGAGAGCGAGGACTGCGGTGAAAGGTCTTTTGAAAAATTCGTTGTTATTTTGTTTGAAAATATGTTTATTAATGAATTGTCAAAATGTAAAATATGTTTGTCTGCGTTCTTGCAACATTTATTCAAGTAAGCAGACATCTAACAATTACTATAGGTATGAGAAAATTTCAACCATTGAATAAAATAATCTTTTTTTGTCTTCGCGCACGCAAATATTAATCAATCAAATTGTCTATCGATCAAAAGTACAGCAGACTTAACAGAGAATGCGACTTGCACTCCTTTATACTTTGTATGGATGAACGTTCGCTTAATATATGATACACATAATATCTATGTATAGAAAATTACGTAACAAAGAAAATTTTCAATTTAATGGAAGTTTAATTAATTTATATAGCAAGACTCAAAATTCATGTTCTTTGCATTGAATAATTTTTAAAGAAGAGCAAACGATACTTGTGAATATATTTTAACAATCAAGCCAAACGATCCGAATAGCCGGTGTCACGATTAAGAACAATCACATCAAATTGGTCTAAGAATTCATTTCTACAAATCAAATGCGTTTACTAGTTATACCGTATAGAACTTTTGGTACACATATGTGTACGAACGTAACGCACAGAACGAGTTGAGCTAGATCCACCTTTTATTGTTCCGATTCAGAAAAAGATTCTCAGGTCGATTGAGAATCGGTATCTATCCGTTTGCCCGCCTGATGTTTGTTTTGATGAAATTTGTTACGCTGGCGCCTTTGGCCCAAGCACGAAGGCTATTGAAAATGGTTCGGATCGGACCTGTTGATCAGTTGACCATCCCGGATATAACGTCTTATTATTCTAATTTTCAGTATTGCGTGACAAAAATCGTTGGGTATTAAAGCACTCTGGAAATTAGGATCAAATGGAACAATTTTTTGAATTTTTTGATGAAAACTCAGGTATAGTAGCAATAGTTCTACGAAATTTGCACAACGTCGGATACCACCACACAAAAACCACCTCATGAAAAATATGCCGTTATTTGGCAGAAATACCCTATTTTTGTTATTTTATGAAGAAAGTTGATTCATAAAAGTAACTTCACTTAAATTTGCATCGAATAGGCCTTTTACTTAGATCCAACTATATAAAAGGATGACAACCGAGCATTTCTGTGGCGGCAAAGTATAGCTTTTAGCTTTTTATGATGGAACAAATGGAAATTACTAAGATAATTGAAAAGTAAATTTGGACTACGTTGTTTATATTTTGAGTGTCCTCCGATGTTAAGGCTTTATTATGGAAATTATGCCTTCGCATGAAAGAGTATAAAATTTTCAAAACGAATGAATGTCTGTATTAAGCGAAGTGATGTAGGGTATCTAAGAGTCAGCCTTGCCCAACTATAGTGCTCTTACATGTTTTAAACAAAAATTTATTTAAATTTATTTGAAACGCTATAGCAACTCAAACGTCACAAAGCCATGATTTCCATGTCATAGAAAATCTATAATTAATACCAAACCATAAAAAAGACTTTTTATCCTCTTCGGGTATTTCTGATGTCATACCTTAGAAACACTTGAAACTAATTAAGTCATGCATCGTTCTTAGCTAGTACGGGGTTGAATTAATGAAAACCTGAATTTTCTCGCTTGTTTCGTGTTAGTGTTCACCTCGATGGAAGTGGAATGAAATGAAACGTACGTATTTGGGCAGACTTTCTTCGATTATGTCAACCGATTCAAGATTATTTTCTGGATCGATTGAAGCTTGTCTAATCTTCAGTCTAATTTCTGCCAATGAAGTTTGTGGTCAACGTTAGGACTACAAATTTTTAGAAATATTTGAGACGAACTTTATTCGACTAACATATTTTGGATCAAGGGCAACCGTTATTGAAGATGTTTGGAACCAGACCCCTCTTACGACCAGAAATAGTTGAATGACGCTATATCGAAATATTTTGTTTTTATAAAGTGTCCCAAAATTTACACAACATTTCAATTTTCCGCCATTTGCGCGCCCAAAAGAAGAAAAAAGAATGTAAGAATTGACAGTTTAGGATTAGTGAAAATATAGCATTGCACGAGAGAGCACCGGCCACAGTTCGCCAACTTCGTACAAAACTTGATCGGTAGGCATACACAACGTATCACGATTTTGGGCTGGAGTCATGGGGCTATTGGAAGTTAAAAGCCTATGCCAACACATCCACAACCGCGTTTGCATGGAAGCAAGAAATTTAACGCTGCATCAACGAAATTCAGCCACATTTGTGCAAAGTGATCACGAAAAATGTCGAAAGAAGAGTGTGTATATATGCCAGGCAAGCCCTGGAGACCATTTGCTCGATGTGCTATTCCGCACATAGAACTATCCTACGTGCCTTCTGATTCAATAAAAAAATTGCAATTAAAAAAAAAACTCTGTCTTCTATTTAATTCACATCTTACGTATATCTTATATATATCTGAGCTCTACTTTATAATACTAAGCAAATGGGCCAAACTCAAATTTGTATATGATTTCGAGGCTTCGTTGGGAATAAAATCCTAGCTTATCTTTCAACTTTTCAATCTTATCTTGGTAATAAAAATTAGATATTTACAGCGGTTTAACAATACATACATATTTACATATATTTTGTGAAAGGTTGTTGTCTTTTCATTTCTCTCTAGTAAACCTATTGCGAAAAAATTTCGGTTTATGGCAGTCGGCGTAGAAGAAACTCGACACTAATTCATGCATTTAGGTTTTATAGCTGTCGACAATGTGTACTATTCTTGTCAACGTCGAATGAAAATTTATCGGCAAAATTTCATTA